GTGTTTGGAGGGTATGAACATGGGAAAAAAATGAGGCCAGGTACCATATCACTCCTTTACAAAAAAAGAGACAAAACTTCTTAAAAGAAACATCAGGAATTGGAAACCGATATCAATATTAAACGAAACATATAATTTTTTTACCAAAACCTTGACAATCAGACTCATGAGGTACTTGTGAGGACTGGTGGGGGTAGAACAGGCTGTTTTTTTACAAGGGAGGGACATTCTCAACAATATAATGCTAACAATCAAAACACTTGAGACGATGAAAGAAGATCGACCAGAAATAGTCGCCCTACTCTTAGACCTAGAGAAGGCATGCGATAGGGTCAATTAGGATGTTGTTTATGACATACTCAGACTAGCTGGATTAAGAGATATATTTTGCCAAAAAGTGTGCCCTATATACTAAGAGCATAGGGAGGGTAATGGTTAATGGAGAGGTCTTTGAGACCTTCCCTCTTTCCAGTTCATTGAGACAAGGGTGTCCTTGGGCGGCTTAGCAACAATGCTCTTTGCAGTTCAGATGGACGTTCTTCTTTCAATGATTAGGAAACTTTTTTTTTTTTTTTTGTAAAATAAACGGGCCTAGTGCCCAAGGATGATATCACCAATAAGAAGATCGAGGTCGGGGTCCTCACAGTCTACCCAGAGTGACCGAACCGAATATGCTGAGAACCGGGCTCAATGTCCCTCATATGATGATAATGATAATGATGATGATGATGATGATGATGATGAACTTCTGCTGATTCTATGTAAATTGTGAAATAATGATACTAATAATGATGATGCTAATGATGATGATAATTAGTATATAAAAAATATAAAAGGCTATGCTATATGAACACTTCTGGCCTCCTAATCCTATGACAACTCCTAGCCCTCCCTGTATCAGGACATTACATCTCAGAGACAATGCCATCCTCACCAACGTCAACCATACTAGCTGACATGTTATCGCCACCTAGACTATCCCTCGACCCATAGGTTATTAAGGCAGCCCCCCTGGGTCGCCACTGGATTGCCTTCCTCCCTCAACAAATCCCCAAATCTCTCTACAAGGTCTCACACTCGTACCATTTGCAGGCAAAACAGATGCACAAAACAAAGCAACTTTGCAAATATCAATCCAGATTCAGCCATCTCTGAAATCCTATAACCCGAATGAGGAAGAAGACCAGACGCCGCCAAGAGTTACAGAACATCAGAAAACTTGATACAACATGATTAAAAACTATGGAATTCTGAAGCACCTCTTCTGTAGATTAATCTCCCCCCTACCCTCCTTCCCATCCTATCCCAACACTGCCTCCACCGAAACTGATTACCAAAATTGCGGGCATCCCATCTCAGCCCCAAATTGGAACAGTCCCACATTCCCCCCTCCTATCCCACAAAGGCATATAGTTCCCTCCCAAAGTATGCCTTTGCCCGCCGTTTACCCTAATTTACCCCTGTTGGGATGTGTACCCCCACCCCCACCCAAAAATAGGGCAACGCACTAAATCTGCCCTCACCCCCTCCGGGGCTTCACCTCCCACCTTGCGTCACCCCTGCAGAGTGGAGCTCTCCCCTGCTCACACCACCCTCCATCCATCAGGGGAAAAAACGTCGATGCACAAGGAGGAGAATATAGAAGATACTAGAAACAAGCATTCGAACAAAAAAAAATTACTTTGGAGAAATTATGAAGACCAAATTTCTACAAAAAAAATTGAATAAGAGTCAGCTTATGGAAGAAAATGCATCGATAATAAAAACATGAGAAGTGAAAATGCAGACTGGAGAAATTTTGAAAACTAGGTTTCAACAATAGAGTTGATAAGAGCCAGCTTATGGAAGTCAATGCTGCAAAAATAAAAACATGGAAAGTGAAAATGCAGATTGGAGATTCAGATATTCGAAATGGAGGAATTAAGGTATTAAAAAATACCAATCAACTTCATTCCAGGAGTTGAGAGTTAAAATGATTTTCGAATATTCGAAAATTCAGTGTTATTTAGAAATTCATAAATGTAATTTGAAAATTCAATTAGAATACTACTTCAATTGAAAGAGTAGATTGATGATTAGGATGATAATATGTATGATGATTGAATGTTGATTAATTAGTTTAAAATGATACTAATTAGAAGTAGATATTAGAAAAATTGTACTGCCTTGATTACGAAGTGGCTTGATACGTGACCAAAAATAAAACGTGAGCGACACATACTTATCTCTTTCTGCTCGGACACCACCAATCCCAAACACCTTGGCCCTGACTTCTTCTCTCACCCCCGTTGTTCTTTCTCCCCTTCTATATCCCCTTATGTCCTTCACAGTCTTCCCTCTTGTATCTACGCCCAAAATCACACCCATTCCCCCCTTCTTTCTTCCCCCGTAGAGGAAAAACATCAGAGAGCGGGATGCTAGAAAGAAATGCCGAGAAAAAAAGTGAATGACAAACAATACGCGGGGGATGAATAGAAGAGGAAAGGAGAGGAGAGAAGGAGATGAAGCTACGGAGGAGGAGGAAGGAAGGACACTTCGGAAAGAAGAGAATTGTTACCCACAAAGATGTTGAAGACGACTACGTTGTGGTGATGATACTGCTGAAGCTGATGATCCTTCGAAGATGACAACCCTCGGTGATGAAGACGACACTCCAATACTTCACGAAGAGGGACACATCGTCAATCAGACGTACCCCGTGCACCAAATATCGATCACTACCCAAAGAAGACAGAAAGGAGAATTCAGAAAAAAACGTACAATAGGCATGCGACCGCATGACTAGACAGGTTCCCCATAGGGATCCCTACCCTCTGTTGCAATCTCCTCCCACATGCTGAAATAATGGTGTGTTCTAAATCAAACTGCAGGAATACCCATATGGTAGCAAACTCAACCATTTGCCAACCCTCCTGCTTCTTACCTTGTAACAACTTAGCTCATTTCCCTCGACTTTTGATCAAAACTCCCCCCACCCCTTGCATTTGCCAAAAATCTATCAACCAGTCGACAACATTCATAATAAAAGCATAAGGGAGATTACAAATTTAAACATATATTTTACGTCAAAACCTGCAGTAAGGAGATGGTCTCCTTTCCTTTGGTCCTTATTGATCAGAGCAATTGATTCGATCAACCTATCCGTGCTCCTCAAATTGAAATTGGAACGAATAGTTAGTTCCCAGACCAGCTGATTAACCACCTGTGAGATCTTCCGGCTAACCCTCACACTACATTTAGGAAAATAAAGGCATATTGGTCTTCATTTCTGCACATCCTCATGCTTAGGGATTACATAAGACTTTCCCAATTTGCTACGTGTATCCCATTTTGCAAGCTTATCCAATCCCAACAGTGCATACTTCTGCCGTAAGTTATCCGAGTCCAATAGGGTCTCCTCTGCCTCAATCCGGTCAACAAAACCCGGATTAAACTGCCATTTCGTCAAAATGGACATCTTTTATTTTTTGAACGAAATTGAAACCGAGTTTTTTGGCCGAAAACTCGTCAAAATTTGTTGTTCCTGAGGGTCCGGCGTTTGTAAAACACTGGACCCCCTGGCTGTACATGGACCTAACTTGAGACCAGGCACCTCCAGGCTGTCCTGCTTGGAGGTGCCTGGTCTCAAGTTAGGTCCATGTACAACCAGGAGGTCCAGCGTTTTACGCCGGACCCTCTGGAACAACAAATTTTGACGAGTTTTCGGCCAAAAAACTCGGTTTCAATTTCGTTCAAAAAATGGTGGAAGATGAGTGAACAGAGAGGTAGGAGGAGGGAGTAGTGATAGATTTAGAAAAAATGTTGAGATGGTGTAGGGGAGAGAGAGAGAGGTGGGGGTGGGCGAGTAGGTTAGTAAAAGAGATGATACCAGACACTTGGTTGGCCACGAGCAACAGATCACCAAGATTCACTGGATCTTGGCCTTCAAGGTGCTGGTTCTCTGCTGCTACAACAAAAACAAAAATAATAAAAAGAGGAAACTACGCAGGAATCACAAAAACGAGTTATAATTGCACTATTGGCCAAGATACAGTTTCAAATTGCAGTTCGGGCAACGTATACAACCCAACTTTCTGGCCAGGTAGGGTGCCCCAAGTGCAATTGCAAACTGTATCTTGCCCCATACTGCAATTATAACTCGTTTTTGTGACTCTAGTGAAGTTACCCCTAAAATAATGTAAGGCTGGCTGAGATCTTGATCAACCACCCTGATTGCACTGTCGCGCAGCTCCCTAGCCAGGGGGGGTCTTCACTGCTGCTCAACTGTTGGCGCAAAAGTAGAAAAAATGATGATGATGATGATCATCATCATCATGATCATCATCATCATCATTTGGGTATGATGAGATCTTGGTCAGCCACCCAGATTCCACAGTTGTGCAACCCCCTAGCCAGGGCGGTCTTCAAGTTTTTCAGCAAGCTGCCATGTGGTACTGTAGATGGTGGCAGGTAGCAGCAGCCACGAGGCCGTGGGGGGAGGAGGTAAGTAGCTGCTGTGACACTCTTCAACAGCAGCGTGCCACAGCTTTAGAACATCTATAGAGTTTGACTAGTGTGTTAAAGCACTAACTATGCACACGCATGGCTAGCAGCTGCCCAGGTTCAAACCCTGGCAACAACATGCCTCCCATATCTTAATATATATAATCCACAAGCAGGGCGGGGCGGGGCAGCGTGGACGTGTGCAGCAGCCTTGGCCTGCACGCGTTGTCATGACATTATACTTTTTCGCCGCACGCGCCGTCGTGACACTACTTGTCGCCACATGTCACTCACTCGGCGCTGCACGTTTCTCCGCTATTTTCTCGTTTTGCTATGAAAGCAGCCAAAAAACAGCCAAGCCCACGTGTTGTCGTGACACTCTACTTTTTTGCCACGTGTCACTCACTCGGTGCTGCATGTTTCTCCGCTGTTTTCCTGTCTGTTTACTCTGAAAACGGCCGAAAAACAGTGAAAATCCCGCTATCGGGATTACACCATATTGCCACTCTTGCGGGGTGGGGCAGGTGGGAGTGGGGCCGTTCCCGCTCTGATACCAGTGTGGCGGACCCGCCGGGATGGCGGTCCGTCAGGATGGCGGTCCGTCAGGATCAAGACGAAGGGATGAGGATGGAGGAGATGGAGATGGAGCTGAAACGGACAGCGTAGCTCCATCGCGGACTCAACACGCACGTACTCCAAAGTGTGCAAACGAGGAATGAGGCCGAAACAGACTGCAGCTGGGGTATACCCCCAGCGGACTGACTGGACCGGACTGGACTGGTACCGACAGTGTTACCGGGTAGGACTGGACTGGACTGAATGAGCACACGGCCTGTGGAGTTAGGGCCACAGCCTTGTCCCACAGGCCGAACAGGCAAAATAGCCTAGGCCCTGGCTGTAGGCCGGGGCAAGTAGAGGGCCGCTGCAAAGGCAGAGTTTCATGGCAGGAAGGAAAGAGGGGAAAAAAAGAAAGACGATAGAACAAAGACGCAAATCTTCCCTCCTGCTCGACAGTCTCATTTCCAGAATGCACCTGCTGTCTGACCATGCTATGATACCGAAATGCACATCCCCAAATCACCAATTTTAGTAAATTTGAGGTCCCAGTGTGAGTATGCCCTGAAATTGGCTCAAGCCAGAACAATTGTTTTGTTTTTTGGGGAAAAAAATGAAATGCCCCTCCGACTTCCATTTATTTGTGGTATGGCAGGTATGCCCCTCTGACGGCTGACTTACCCTGTCACGCCTTGACGTTCCCCCAAACCCATGGCATGGCTTGGGCCAGAAATATGTTCAATATGCACCTACCGGTACCGGTTCCAAATTTCCAGTATGCCCCGGTAGCTCCCCTCCCAAGGCCAGGGGAATGACCGCGAGTGCCACCAACGGCCACAGGGGCATGCTGGAAAGTTGCACCCCTCACTGATAGGGGCCTGTAGGGCACTTCAGAGGCCCCAGACGACACAGTAAGTTGGGCGTGGGTGGGGCATACCGCAAATAAGTGGAAGTTGGAGGGGCATTCAAAAATTTCCCTTTTTAGAACACACATTTCAAAAGTAGTCGTAAAGGTTTTTCAAATTGGCCGGTTGCACGCGCCCTATCAAAGTTGGGAGAACATGAAGATTACTTCGTGCCAGCTCACGAACTTCGTGGTGTAGCCGCGTCGTGTTAGCTGTTAGCTGTCTACGTTCACTTGTGGGAGTCGGTGGGACTTAGGGCCTCGCTCCATTACAGTAACTCTCCACATGCACGAGGCTCCACTACAGTAACTCTCCACATGCACAAAGACAAAAGATATGGTGGTCACGTGGGCTTATATTCTAGGCTTCTAGCAGGAGATTCATTCTCATTTTGCACATTTGGTGAGTAGTGGAGGGAGGCCCTTTAGGCCATACTCAGACTGGGAGTCCTTTACCTATTTCTAGACCGAATTGCGGAGCATCTAGACGCATCTAGACGGAATTTCGGCCAGATGCGTAAGATGGTGCTAGTGTGAGTATGCCCTTACTGTAGCAAGGGGAGCAACGAAGTGCACAGGCTGTACATGAAGCGATAGCGTCATCATCTGCTGAGCGCAAGCTGTGCCACTGCGCCCTGAGATTTTGCCATAGCTGCTGGAGAACTGTGCTACCTTCTTCCCCCAAATACAAGTAACGGTCATTGTAGCTGTATGTATTTAGACTGAAAGATACCCCAAATTCAGCTTTAATGACCGCACATTGTATTCGGGGGAAGACTGTAGTAGCCATGGCTCACATGCCTCTACTATAGCCTACACACTCCATAGAGCCTAGAGGTCTTGGGAACAAGGGAAACGGAAAGGTGTTGTCATTTTACTGTTTTTCTCCTTTTTTTCAACCTAGAGCTGCTTAGGGAAAAAAGGTCTGAAAGGCCGTCCTGTCCAGATTTGCCAGGTAATTGAATTGGTTGGCCTTTACAAAAAAAAAAAAAAAGCTTCAATATACGGGCCTCGCTCAGTTTACAACGATGAACTGCTGAAATGCAGACCCAGGTTCAAATCCAGTTCTATCAGATGACCAGAATAACACAATTTTGAACAAATTACGCATCCGGTCAGCTAAATGACCATATCTGGAGGCTGAGTCCAAAATGCCGACTCCCAAAAAAAAAAAAAAAAAAAAAAAAG